ATCTGCTTTTCAAAAATAGGGAGTAATATTTGCAAAATATTATGCTATAAGAATGAAAACCTAAATTTCCGGCTTTTTTCCAAAATTTGATCATTCAATCATCTACTGATCCATTGAAAAAATGTAAGTAATATTTTTATTTTCACACTCACAAGTACTGATGACAATAAATGTGACAGTACACCAGGAATTAAAAGAATTTTACTTTCTCTGCGTGTTGGTATCATCGATGGGTGTAGCACGAATAGTATATGGCCGAAAAACAGAAAATGGGCTGCCATTACCGACGTACTACCTTTTTGACACGAGCGAACCACCCATTTATCAGATTATTTACCTATGCGAATCATTTTGCATTACGTTCAATCTGATGGTTGTGATGATAACCGATTTCACGGTGATTTGTTTCATGAAATGGTTGACGGTTTCACTGAAAATCATAAGCTCGAACTATAAAAATTGCGACAGCAATTTGGTAAAACGGTCTATCTTTACTGCAACTTCTTATCCAAAAATGATCAAGGCTACTCAAAAGATTGATATCGACATCGAGCAGATTGATATACAATCTTTCGTGTCATACGAGCAAGTTCATGATTATGACGTCAATAACAATAGCACTGACTGTTTCGAGGAGAGACTGAAATTGTGCATAAGACAGCATCAGAAAATAATAACAATTGTTGATGATCTCAACATCATTTTCGGTGGCTACATGTTTTTGCAGGTTGTTACTAGTACGGGGCTTATTTGTTTAAATGGCTTTCAAGTTATTGTTGTAAGTAATACAAATTGAACATTTTTTAACAGTGCAATAAAATTTAATAATAACAATAATAATTGTTTTTTTTTTCTAAGTGCAAAGACAGTTCAACAGTTGTGAGATATATAATAAATCTGATCGCATCTTTCATTCAACTCCTGTTTTGGTGCTGGTATGGAAATAAATTTGTTTCTATGGTAAGTGAAAAAAAAGTTTGGAAAATCCAAATGAGCATGCCTTAAGCGCTCATGCCATACATAAATTATTTAGATCATAACGAAAATTATTTGTTTTTAATTTGAATTTTCCCGCGAGTAGTATTATCCCCTCTGTCGGTCGAATTAAAGAAAAATTTTAACAGATTTTTATTTTTTATTTATTTATTTATACCAGGATACAAAACATATATACATACATATTACATCGTAGAAATATAAAATGCATGTCCCTACAGAGGTGTTTGTAGACACCTGCGCGTAGGCCCGGTAAGGCTTGTTCACTTTATACATTACATTTTCCTGTCATTCATAATTTTTTATATAAATACAAACTTTTTTTTTTTTTTTTTTTATACTATGAATAATTATGAGGATATTTGATTTGCTTTGAAACATTCATAATTAGATTTAAACGTTAATTATTTATGTTTATTTTCATTTGACAATAACCAATATTTTAATTTTGTTCTGATCGTTTTATTTTTATGTGTAAGAGTTTTTAGATGATTTGGTAATTTATTGTAGTATTTAATGACAACAAAATAAGAATTCTTACATGCTATCTCTTTTTTTACTCTAGGTATACTGATACTTTTGTATCTTGTAGTACTAGATTGTCTTTGGTATAAGTCCCTACAACGTTTATAATGACAATATAGTGATTCCAATATAAAAGAGTCTTTGATTCCCAGAATTGATCCTTGATCATCAAATATTTTAGTGAGCTTATTCTGTACTCTGAGCAGTAAGTTTATGGTTGTCTTGTAACAACCACCCCATGCACAAATGCCGTAGTTTACAATACTTTCAAAAAGAGTATGGTAAATAGTTTTCAAGGCTTTTTTGTCTAATATATTTTTCAATTTATAGAAGATATATAGGAAATATCTAATTTTTTTTACAACATTTGTTATATGGACATCCCACCTCATATTATGATCAAAAATCAATCCCAGATATTTACAGCTATTAACTCTAATAATTTCTTTGTTATATATTTTTAGTTCAAACAATTTTGGAATGCTACTTTTATTGCAACCAAAAGTAATATAGGTTGTTTTATCTACATTTAGTGTTAAACGATTCATGCGTAACCAATTTCCTACAGTATCTAACATGGTGGACATCTTGCTCTGAACAGTAGACCAAGATTCTCCAGTACATTTTATTACTGTGTCATCTGCAAATGCAGCTAAACTTTTATTTGGTAGTATTTGGAAAATATCATTAATATATAATATAAATAGAAGAGGTCCTAGTACAGTGCCTTGCGGTACAGATGATAAAACAATTAGTAATTATACCATCATGTATGAATAGTTTCTGCTTGTTTATAGTTATTTCAATTCTGTTTATGAAAAATAATATATATGGCTGCCAAAATCGCAGAAAAAGTCACTGAATTGACAATCGAAAAAAATTAACTGTATCGAAACGGAATTATTTTGACATGCAATTTTCAAAAGGGTTTTGACGAACTTCCTCAGGAATGAAACAAAAAAAAAATTAAATCATGAAAGTGATTTTTGACAAAGTTGTGGTGTTGTCAAGCCCATAGCTCCCGTGAATACCACGCTCTTATTCATTTAATTAATCAGAAAAACGAGTTTTTTTCTGAGAAATCTTATTTAATCGATGAGAAAATTTTTTTAACGGGTTCTATCGTTACTATTATTTATTTCAATATGCTTTTTATCCATAATTTTTTTTGTTTAAATTATAAAAATCATGTTTTAATCGAAATCACGATTTTTGGGCGAGAGTAAAGCATACCTGCGCGCTTCGCGCTTAAGGCATGCAAAAAAACTTCTGCCCCTGAAGATATAATTATCAGTGGATATAAAAAATTCTTATACATGTATACACATTTGTTAAGTAGGCCGATACATTAATAACCAGTCAATGGATGTCTAGATGGGAGAATTCATTTAGTCCAAGCATAAAAAACCTTTTGGTGATATCAATGATCCAGTCTTTACGCCCGCTTGAATTTCACGCACTCGGACTCATCAGATTCACTATACCAACCTTCGTTGACGTAAGAAAATGATCATTAGTATAGAGTAATCATTTAAAAAAATATATACACATGTGTTTATAAGCTCTCTTTAATTTTTCTGCAGATTGTCAAAAAGTCGTACTCGGTGTTCATACTTTTGAAGCGTACCATTTCTGATTAAGTGTTCTAAGATGTCTGCTTTCAAATTACTGAATAAACGTTTTAGTATTTAATAGCTCTATTAATCAACTAGTAATCTCGTAAAAATGTATATTATAATTATCAATATTTTTATCAGGTATATTTTTTCAATGTTATTATCTTAAAATGCAAAATATTTTCTAACACGCCTAACCTTTACTGTCATGGACACATTACTGACTACTGTTCAAAATACTAATCAATGATGTTTTATTTATTTCATGAGATGGAAGTAATAGTGATAAAGAAGACATTATTGATTCGTTTTATTAACAATTCAAGTTATGCATAAGACAGCATCAAAATTTGATTTGATTTGTTGATAATCTCAATATAGGTGACAAATATAAAATAAATACGTCATCTGTATGTAGGCTTTTTTTTTGCTCGCATATTTTATTTTTTCAACACAGGAAGTACACTTCATAAATTTGGTTTTTGTTACTATCGAAATTTTTAATATTGCGAAAATTAAGTAAAAACGAATAAAGATTGTATCGATGCAAAATAAAGTCGACAAAATGGATTTAGCCGCATTTACCTAGTTACTATTATGGTGCTAGTATGACAATGAATTCATTTATACAGTAACTATTTTTTGTTAAAATATATCTTGCTTCAAAACTTACTGCTTAGAAAGATTCACGGATGTTTTAAACCAGAGTGAAATATCAATATGTACACGAATGATTTGAAAAATCTCATTTAATTTTCAATGATTTAAGCAATGAGATCCATTGAGTTTAAAGCTACTGTTCTTATAACGTTTTTAAACGTACTTTTGTCTAAGAATTTATTTCAATTTTTATCAAAATAATTTTAATGTAAATGATTTTTAAACATTGACATGTTGTAATACTTTTCAGATTCTCAAAACTTGATACACATAGTCCGTGAATTTTTTGAATCAATTCAAAGTAAATATCTTGAAACAAAAGTGAAATTTTAAAAAGAATTTTATTCTTGAAGTAAGTTTCTTTTTAGTGCACAGCCATCCAGATGTTAGTTTAATTGATTACTGTTGAGTAATTAGGAACCAGTAAATTCTGAATAAATTAATGTAATTCGATACTACATTAAATTTATTTTTTTAGCGGTTAATAGTCTGTGAAAAAAAAAAAAAAAAAAAATACTTATTGTAGGAAAAATCAAACGTTTTTGTTAATCAATAAAAACTAGACAATTGCTGATGATTAAATTTTTGGAAATTACATTTTTTCATTTAAAATAACCGATTTTTGCACTACTAATAATGTCATTTACTTATAAAGAGAAGAAAGAAAACAAAGAGAATAATAAAGGAACTAGAAATAGATAATAGTGTTCAACAAAACACACTTGAATACTCCACCAGTATTACTGCGGATAGTTCTGAATAAAATGAAAAAAAATTATCCATCATTTTTGACACCACGCAAGCGATAGGTAATTATAGTCTAAATCTATAAAATATTAGGTAGAGCTTTATTTCTCTGAAGTAAAGCTTCGGCTTATACACTTATAGGTAATTTGTTTCTATTTTCATAATTGGACGGTAGGTTAATAATATATCGAAAGTTTATTTTTCTGTAAGAAATATACTGAAATTGAATCATTTCATGATATCTATTTTTACTTTGCAATAAATTGTATATTCTTTTGAGAACGAATGACTTGCTAGAAAGATTAAAAGTTTATTTTGGTACTTTTATGAAAATAATCTGATTAATATATTTGGTGTTAAAAATGCATCGCAAAGTTATAAACATTTGTGAAAAAATCGTAAGGTTAAGAATTATTTTTTTTTACAGATAATTGATATTTTTTTGACAGTGCCAATATGAATAATTTTCAAAATTTCAGATTTTCTGGTGTTTGGCCAGCTAAAAATACCGCGCCAATAATACTCAAAATACTAAATCCCATTTTTCGAGTGGGAAATTTCACGTTATTTTCGTTGCTATTTATAAGCGTGATAGGAGACATTGTTGAAAATTACAATGATTTGACGATTGTTACTAATGATATGTGTTTCATATTTGGTACCGGTATGTCGTTTTCAAAATCTTGCTGTTATTTTGTTCAGTATGATCAAATAATGAATCTCATTAATGAGATTTATTCTCTACTTGATGTGATACAACAATCAAATGGTAAGCGAAAATTATTATTGTCTTTAAAGTTTACATTTTATGTATAAGCACACGGAAAAAATATAGCATTGGCTATAAATCATTTTATACAGTTTTTACAATGAACTTTTTTAATGTAAATTAAAAATTTTTTCAACAAACTAATTTTAAATTTTTTACAATGTAAAATTTCCATTTTTTTGTAACATAAAATTTACAATTTCAGTTTTAAAGATTTCTAATTGTAGAAATTATATTCCTCAAAATATAAATTTAAAAATTATGTCTTAACTGAACTTATTTTCCGTACACCATAATAAAAATAGTAAAAATAACATTCTTGCAACTCAAATTGTCGATACCTGATAAGAACTCAATTTCCAAAAATCCAGATTCAATAAATAATTTCTTAGTTATCAAAAATCATTAATTTCTCATAGCGAGAAGTTAAAAAAATTAATCTGTAATAAAACTAACTCACTAATAACTAATCATTACCCTTTTCAGATGCAGGGGTTCAAGAATTACTAACTTCTACAGCCCGACAAGAAAATACAACTCTAAAATATTTTTTTTCGGTTCTATCACTGCTGGCTCTATCAAGAATCATGGCCGGTCGTAAAACAGAAACCGGATTACCTCTACGAGCAGCGTATCCCTTTGACACTACCGAATCCCCGATTCACCAAATCATGTACTTCTATCACTCATACTGCATAGAATGCAGCGTGATGACAATATTGGGAATTGATATTTTGGGAGTTTCTTTTGTAAGATGGTCAACAGTTCTGCTGAAAGTGTTATCATCAAACTACCAAAAATGTGACAGCACTTTGTATCGGAAGTCTTTATTAACCAATACAAAGTCTTTCAATAATCTAGGTGTGTCCAGTACAGATGAACATACGGGTACAAAAATCAAAACTTTTATATCATTTGAAGCAGAACGTACTAACAAAAATGATAACACTCTTGATTGCTTTACCGAGAGGTTCAAATTATGCATAAAGCAGCATCAAAAACTCATAGAAATTACCAATAACCTTTGCAGCACACTCAGTTATTGTATGCTGATCCAAGTTGTTTCAAGTACAAGTATGATTTGCATGAATGGGATTCAACTGATTTTGGTTCGTTATTAACATCAACATTTTTTAAGAAGTTTAAGAACGTATCGATGCTATTAGAAAAAAAAAATTTTGTTCTGAGTATATTAAATTTGCAATCCAGTTTTCATTTCAAACAAATTAACTACCCTGATTAAAAAACGAATTAAAAAGTGTTACAAGTAACAAAATTTAAATTCTTTTAATACTGGAATAAAAAAATACTTTTAAATCTCTTTTCTTATGAAGAATTAATATTGTCTATCACTTTTAATTTTTAATACTAACTAAGGCAATGATAATTCATCGTATATTATCGTCCAATACTTCTAAAGGACATTATAATAAAAGATAATTTTTACTAATGAAGTTTGAATGGGTTGCCAACTTGATACTCAAAACAGAAACTTTTGTCCAGTCGAAAAAGTATATGATTTATCATATACAAATATCCTAAAATTAAAAAAAAATTCCTGCACGTTTCACGATGTGAAGCGTCACAGAGTGCCTGATAATCGAAAAATATTTATCGCCTCTTTCTATTTACTACAGCACATGAATGAAGGCTCATATATTGTCAAATTCATAGCTGGCTTGGTAGTAGCGTTCACACAATTATTTGTTTGGTGTTGGTTCGGTAACGAATTGATTTTCACGGTAAGTTATTTACTCTCTTAAAAGGAATCAGTGGAATTTCACTGGTTCACCAGTGGACGTTCACTGATTCCAACCAGTGATGCAATTTCACTGGTGAATCAGTGAACAAACTATCTGCGCGCATGCGCGCTAGTATCTCCACTGGTTGAATCAGTGAAATCCACTGATTGAATCAGTGAACAAACTATCTGCGCGCATGCGCGCTAGTATCTCCATCAGTGACATTGCATTCACTGGTTGGAATCAGTGAACTTCCACTAGTGAACCAGTGAAATTCCACTGATTTCTTTTAAGAGAGTATATTATAATTAACTTTTTAATCAAACTATTAATTCAAACTTGAAGTTTATGTAAATTAATTTCAAAAACGCAAATTTATTTGAAAATTCGGTTATAGTGACACTGAAGGCGTAACTTTTGATTCACAAAATTTATTAGTTATTGAAAAAATAAAATCAAATCAAATTAAAAATAAAAATTTCTTCTAGGCCGATTCATTAACAGAGAGCCTATGGTTGTGCGGATGGGAAAATGCACTTTCTAGCAATATTAAAAATTCTTTGACTATTTCAATGGCCCAAACATTGCGACCGATTGAACTTAATGCTATTGGTCTTTTCCAATTCACTATGCCAACATTCCTGGAAGTAAATAAAAAAATTTATTGTTTAAATTCATTTTACTATTCCTTTCATAATTTATTTACCAAAGTTTTATAATTTTCTTCAGATCGTCAAAAAATCGTACTCAGTCATGATATTCTTCTTGACTATGATACCAAATTAGGTTCGACTTACGTGATTGGTTGAAGAAATAAATTAATGCTAATACATACATTTTTGTAATTTTATAATTATTTCCTCCATACATACCTATATTTATAAGCCAATTTTATAAGCTATTGAAGATTTTTTTACTTTTTATAATTCATTCTCATTTGGTTTGGTAATAAAAATGTTTATCTTTTATTCTCCGATGCTGGAATTTGAATTTATTTGAAGCAAACTCATTACTCATAATTCATGACTATATTTTTGATAGCGAATGATTTGCTCCTTTGAGATCCTGGATAATTTTCAATTTCTAAAATTGACTGAAAAAATTTAATTATTTAAAATTAGACAAGAACTCACTTCTTTTTTGAAAATTATAATTTTGTGACCGAAAGATTTATAAAATTATTATCAAATGTTGATTTTTAAGCGTCATGTCCAAAAATAAGTACTTTATTGTTTCATAACATCCATTGATGATTTTCATAATTTAACTTGATTCAAAAAAAATTAAAATTAGTAGAAAGAAATTCTGCTGAAGAAATTTTTCATTTAAAACAACATTAAAAAATCTGGAAATAAAATGAAAAAGTATTTACAAGCCTTTCAATAATTGTTATAGCATGTTATTGTTACAATACATCTTCTTTGCGAATGCAAAGAAGAAAAAAAGCTTACAAAGCGAAGTCTTTGGGAGCTTATCGTTGACTGACGATAAAAATTGGTAAGAAAATCACCCCACTCTTTTTTCCGACGCTCCTTGCAACAAAGTGTGGCGAAAATTACCCAATCAAATATTCATAAGCGGTTCATATGAATCGATATTTATTATTCATCGAAAGCAATTGACTTCGAAGAAAAAAAAAGCCTGCGTAAGTAAAAGTGTTGGGTAAAATTGCAACATTTAAATAAATTGCTACTTTGTACTTCATATTCGTTTCTTTTTTCTATATTCCAACTCTTCTGCGAAAAAAAATTCACAACTAGCGACGATGAATAAAAGACCGATCGAAATACATCGCAAGTACTTGGACAAATGCATTTATTGCATCAGGTAATTTTGCATAAAAAAAATACAAGAGTTCAATGTTCGATTAATTTAAATTTAAGATAATTTGATACTTTGACTGAAATTTTTCGTGTTAAGGTTTAAGATTTAAAAGTTTCCAAATTTTTACAAATAAATTTTCACGTTTTAATTAACTTGACAAATTTTTGTTACAAACATTTTTTAGAAATAATTTTGAAGCTTTTATTGGTTTAAAAATTTTGAGCTTTAAAGAGAGAATCTTTATGTAGTTATTAAAATTTTTGGCTAACCAAAAATTTTGGAAAACACCAAATTTATTACTGTTAATAAATAATTTTTAAACTTTTACAATTTATTAGATTATTTGGAATTTGGACATTTGATTCATCAGCAACGATTGTTCAAAAATTCATGAGTGCATTCGGGACAGTATTCAATCCGACGATTCTGATTTTTCACTTTCTAACAGTACTCGCAGATATCATAGTGAACTACAACGACCTGATAATTGTGGCTGACGATGGATGTTTTCTTGCTGGTTCATTCACGGTGTGCTTCAAAGCTTATGAATTTCGTGTACTGGAAAAAATTTTTATAGAATTATTAAATCAAGTACACGTCCCAATGGAAATTCTCAAAAAATCTTGTGGTAATGCTTTTTTCACAAAATTACTTTTCGTACACAATAAAAAACAACTAGGCTCATGTAAATATTTTTCTTCAAATTTTGTGTTCCAAAATATTTACATGTTGTATTTAAAGAAAACGTTTCACTCAAATGAATAAATTATAAACAGATTTTGAAGCAAGAAAAAAATTCTGGAAGCAATAAAATCAGCTTTTTTCCTCCTATAAGTTTTTTTAGTCCAAGAATATTTTTTTTAAACAAAGTAAATATTTTTTCTGTGTTCACTAAATTTAAACTTTCAGATTCAGGAGTACTGACAATTATCAAGCAATACATATTTTTTGAAACTCTCGACTTTTTCATACTGTCATACACGGTAACTTGCCTGGGAATTGGTTTGATCATCCTTCTACCCTTAACCAGAGGCGGATTACCAGTGAGAGCAATCTACCCGTTCGATTCGACGAAGTCAATGACGTACAAGCTGGCGTTCTTCATCCAAGCTTACAACATAACATTCGGGCTGGTGACCATAGTCGCGTTAGAATTCCTCAGCTGGGGGCTGATGAGGTGGACGATTGTCCAATTGAAAGTCTTATCATCCAATTACAGGCATTGCAACAGCGATATCACGCCTATTGGATCATTGAATGTATCAAAATCCACTTACGACAGGATCAAAAACTTCAGCATACTAAAAGTTGATGACGAAGACATGGAAATACATCATTTCATAGCCTTCGAAGAGAAAGAAATTGACGGAATTAACGATTGCTTCAATTGGCGGTTCAAAACTTGCATAAAACACCATAAGAGATTGATTCAGATAATTCATCAATTGAACAGTGTTTTCACTACTAGTCTCTTGGTCCAACTTGGAGTCAGCAGTTTTTTGATGTGCTTAAATGGTTATCTTGCATTTATGGTAAGTATTTATCAAACAACTGACGTATAGAAATTTTCACAAAAACTACCATTATAATTACAGCAATCGTGAGGGTATCAGGCGTTTTGATCCCCCGACAAAATATCCCCGGACAAAATATGGTTTTTCTGAAATAATAATTATAAATTATTATAAATTTATAATTTATAATTTAATAATTATAATAAATTTCAATAATTTATAATTATTATTTCAGAAAAACCATATTTTGTCCGGGGATATTTTGTCGGGGGATCAAAAATCATGGAACCATCGTGAGACATCTAAATCTAAAACTGCTGTATCATGTGTTAGTAATTAAAATAATTTTTAAGTTATAAATCTTTTCAAGAAATTTTACCAAACTCTCTGTCAAAATTCTGCAGAAGATTCCACGAATATCATTTTGTAGAGTTTTATTGTCTTAAATTGAGAAGAAAAATTTCTTAGATCAAGTAAAATTTACTTGAACCAAGAACAAGAATTTTTTCATTTGATTTAAAACGGTAAAATTCTTCAAAATTACGTTCTTAGTTCAAGATTTTTTCTTTCAAGTCAAGTTAATTTTTTTATTATATAGTTATCATTATTATTATGTATATAGTTATTGTTTCACCGAGTCTACAATAAAATGAATCTATTTTCACCATATTAACTTGTTCCATGATTATCACGATTATAACGTTAATTTGATTGAAAATTTATATCTGTACTTTAGTAAAAGCAATATAAATATTCAGGTGGCGCAAAAAAAATATTGGAACTTGAAGTTTTAATATTTAGAGTCAGTAAAAATGACACAGCTCTAAAAATGATTTTAATTTCGTTTAACGGGCAGAAAATCGACAATTTTTTGAATTTTTAAGTATCATCAACTAACATATTATCATATAAAACTCGAAAAATAAAATTCCAATTTTTTGCGCCCCACAAAAAAATATTTGAACGAAAAATACACAGCTGAATTCTAAATTCAAACTTTTACATGAATCAGTTCCCGGACGACAATCAAAGATTGATAAGATCTGTTATGTATCTAATCGCTGGGTTTGTACAATTATTATATTGGTGTGGATTTGGCAATGAACTCAAGTATCAGGTAAATATTAAAATATGTTTACATCAGTCTCTTTGATTTTACAAATTTAAATAATTAAAGTTACTTTGTAAAATAAACTGCTTTTAAAAACGAAAAATAAACTAAACAATAAATTGTTAAAAAATATGCTTGAAATTTCCATAGATAAATGATCTAACAACAAGCCAATGGATGTCTAGTTGGGAAGATAAATACGACAGGGGTATCAAAAATTTGATTACAACCGCGATGATCAGAGCTATGCAGCCGATGGAAGTTAAAGCTGGTGGTATCTTTATTCTTTCAATGGAAACCTTTCTTTCGGTATTGTAACCAATCATATTTACTATTTTTTTTTTCATGTAATTATTAAAAATTTACAGTTCAATTTCTAATAGATTCTTAAAACCTCCTACTCGGTATTTGTGTTGCTGACTACTGTATCTGAGGACAACTGATTGCGTGATACTAAGAAATTAATGTATAACATATACATGCGCTTTTGTCAGTAACTGACGACAATAGAAACGAAATATGGATGATGATGTAATTAAAACTAATTTTTTTAGTCATTAATAGTTTAGAACTAAGTATAGTTAGTTATTTGTAAGAAAGAAAACTTTTTTTTGGTGTTAAAGAGTTTAAAATAAATAAAATGTTTAATATTAATTACTACTAGTTCGATATTCTAACATTTATAGTTTGAAAAAGTCTATGATAAATAACTACACTGTGATTTGGTACTATGCAATACTAGTGCATACATGAGAAAAACAATGTTGATTAATATTGATGTCACATTTTTTAGCCCTCAGTCATCATAGTATTGAGGATAGCAAAGTATGAATAAGACTTTTGTATTATCTGAAAAAAAAAATTTGTTAATTCACCAAAGGCTAATACGTATGTTAGAAAGTTCCGATAGCTCTAGCCATTCATTATATTAGCAAGCCTGCTTGTAAAACAATCTATTATGGCTATATATTATCTGATATGCTCATATCAGGCTAAATATGAGAATAAACATATATAATAATTTTTCAGTTATTTATTCTTTCTAGAAATTTGCACGTAAATGAACATGTCGTATTAATTAATAATTGGTTAAATAAATAGTTGATTAAACTTAAAATCAATGTTGGATAAGCTAGTTTCCGTAGAAAAATTTCCTGATATAGCCTGATATGCTCATATATGACGACATCAAAATTTTTATGAAAATATATGGCTAAAGCTATATATGGTGTAATATGCATATATATATATATTACTTTTTTATGTGTCTTTAAATGGCGTGATATGTCATGATGAATCCTAAAATGATCAATTTGAAATTATAGTTACCGACAAGTAAGCTTCCATGGAAAAAATGAAAAAGTAACCCGCGGTCATAACCATCGGCGTAAGTCCTTGTAATAGTCCTATTATAATTACTTGTTTGTCATTTGTTTTGAAATGATTTTCCCATCCACAATCGTAAATGCTTTTTCTGCCCTCCGGCCGGAAAGTGGCAACTTTCTGGCCGCTGCGCTAAACAAAGTTGCCACATTCCGGCTACGTCGAGCAGAAAAATAGTATACACACCTTGGCCAGTAAAAAGTAAAGCCTCAGACCACATGTTTGTCAACCTCGGCTTCGCCTCGGCCAACAATTACATGTGGTCTGAGACTTTTCTTATTTTACTGGCCTAGGTATGTAATATACTATTCTTCAAGGCGTCATACTGCAACAGTAAAATCCCACTTCTATGACGGCCACCGAAATGAACCCTCTAGTTTAGTAATTAAAGTATAAACCTCTTTGATAAGAAAATCCCCATAAATAGACCAGTACAGCAGATGACACAGCCCACTGAGAAGCATTGTCAAATCTCTAAAGATGTTTCTACCTTTCTTGAGACCCTTTGGTACATAAAAAATTTAATAAACTGGGATAGTACGATAGTTACCTGACTAACCAGCGCCATTTGGAAAAGACCAATGCAAGTTAGCATGCAATTAGAGGCTATTTGGGCGAAGAAGACCAGACTAAAGTGATTGTTGTATTCATTGATTATATTTATTATCCTACGATGGTGGATTATGCACAGCTTGAACCTCTTGATGAACGAGTCTTGGTCGACGTGCATCTCATCTTCATGGAAAAGAATGAAGGCTTGGATTTCTCGTAGCTCTTCGGATGTCTTAAAGTACTTGTAGTTCGAGGCAATGTCGTAATTTTTATTGGACATCGAAAAAGTGGCGCGAGGTGTGTTAAAATTGTTACAGTGGCGAAAGTTTGACTGGAGCACCACTAGCTGGATGTTTATTCACCTGATCATTCCCATGACTGCAGGCTCATGGGTCAGGACCCAAAAGTTATTGATAACCAGACTGTAGTATTCGATCGCGTAGATTATTTCAAACAGGGGGGATGGTGTCTCGTCGAAGGGGAACATACCCCGGATCGGCAGGATTCGCGTTCTCAAGATTGTTTTTATCGGTAACAAGCAAGACAAATTAACAAACGTAATTGCGAGTATAAACATCGAGAAATCAAAATTTTGGTAGGTTATCGCTATCTGGATCTCGGTTATTACACCTAAGTCTGTGAGTTAAATAGCTATCATTCATTATTTACACTGATAGATAAATTTGTTAATATTTATTAAAAGTTAATAACAAGATTATTGTACTTGCCAGATGAGTACTTAAACTTTTTGACGGGATCATGGATCTTATCAATAAGCTTATAAATAGCCTTCTGATTCCTGTTGATTACCAGAGACTTAAAAATGGTAGCTATCATTGGAAGTATGTAACCAAAATTGTAGGAAACTTCTTGAATGTTGTCCATGTTGCAGAAAAAGTCTGCGGTACTCAGCACTACTACCAATATAGTGATGATCCAGTTTATTACCCTCATCGGGAGTCCTTTCAAGTATTCTGACAGCGACTGCGGTGAAAGCTCTATTAACCCGAGATACCTTTACCAAAGATTTACATTAAAATAAGTACCGTTATACACTTCTCACAAAAATTAAGGGAGAAAGAAAAAAATCTAAATTTTTGGGGGATTTTCAACAGGCTATAAATTGAAGAAAAATCGTTGTACAGTAAATAAAAAAAAAATTAAAGGTTTTCTTGAGATTACTCGAAAAAAAATTTCTAAAAAAAATTTTAAAACTCTGATCCAAAAACCAAACACTTGGAGCTACAATTTAATTTTTTTTTTATTTGCTGTACGACCATTTTTCTTCAAGTTACATCTTGTTGAAAAACCCCCGAACATTTGGATTTTTTTGTTGCTCCCTTAATTTTTGTGAGAAGTATATATAATAGTATTCAGTGATTAGTTTATATTTTTCATTACTTCCCGAGCCAGAGACTGATAAACAAAGTCTTATTGTGAGTCTCTATAGGAGTTTTCTTCATCATCGTTGTGTAGAAAAAAATATACCAACGTTTAATGTTTATTCAAGGTTTATCGCTTCGGATTTTTTTATGCTTTTCCACTTAAAGTTGAATAAACCTATCGAAGTCTTTTTACAACTAAATAGTAGCGTTCAAGCTACCTGTACACGATGAGACTTCTATCGATTAACACTTAAAGTTATATCCTTCGGGCAGAAAAGTAAAGAAGTTATTGGTGAGAAACCTGAATAATTTTTTTTTCGCAATTTAGCTACCCGGGAAAAACGGATTAGATCTGGCCATATATAAACAGATCTGGCCAGATCTTTAAATTGTGTATACTAAGAGCAATTGTGTATTGTGTTTACTATATATATATATATATATATATATATATATA